TCTGTAAAAACAAAAAAAAAAAAGAATTTGCAAAATATATATTTTTAAGTCTTTTTAGTTTTTTTATGTATTGTTTTTGTAAAAACTGAAAAAAAATATTTATTTTTAAAACTGGAAAAAACAAAAAGACTCTCCTAAAGCAGTGGACTACATATGCATTAGTTTTAAATAAATAAAAATATTTTGCAAAATATGTTTTTTTCAGTTTTTACAAAAATAATACTTTAAAAAACTGAAAAAACTGAAAAATATATATTTTGTAAATTTCTTTTTTCAGTTTTTACAGAATATATATTTTTCAGTTTTTAAACCATTTTTTAAAAAAATATTTTTTTTTAGTTTTTACAAAAAGAATACTTTAAAAAAACTGAAAAGACTTAAAAATATATATTTTGCAAATTCTTTTTTTTTCCAGTGTTTACAAAATATATGCTTTAAAAAAATTGAATTTTAAAGCGGGTCGGGTGGTGGGTTTTTTAAAATGGATCAGGTTAAAAAAAATAAAAATGGATCGTTTTCATCTGGTGTTGACACGTGGCACTCCATCCAAAATAAGGGTATATTTGATCTAAAGTATGACGGGAAGGGTATATATAGCCAAATAGTATAACGAGGGGTATTCTTAGACCATTTTCGAAAGTACAAGGGTATATTTGGCCCTTTGACGTTTGCTCTGCAACTTTCTGTTTGAGAGCTAAAATCTATCAAGATTTAAGCTTTTATGAATTTGCTATTCTAGTTTTTGACTACTTATGTTTTTAAATTTGTGTAATTTGGTTCTGATTCAAGATTCAATTTTTTAATTGATTTTGCTTATCTAATCTCTCGAGGTAAATTAGTTCTTTGTGTTTCTCTCATCACAAGCCATACTCTTAGATTATTGCCTATTTAGCAACAAAATTATACTTTTAGATTATTTAGAAGACATAGAAAATAGTTTCACAATGAATATACGTTTTGATGGATCAAATGTCTTTGCTTGATCTTCATGTTTTGATTTAATAGCATCTGCTGCTGTGCTTTCCTTCTATTTATTGAGGTTATTGGTGGCTTCCACATACCATTGGCTATCATGGAAAGCGTGGCCACGGCTTTTATCACCTCTTCGTTATGATGAGGTATTCACTTTCTCCCCTTATAAACTGTACCATTCCATTGCATTCAAGTGTGTGTTTTAGAGTATCTAATTATAAACTACAGCGACAACAAATTACTATAAGTTATTTAGCAATCACATAATGTCTTAGCAGCCAACATCTTAGTAATAACCAATTGCTAACACTCACTTTGCAAACACAGTAGGTAGATGTAGCAAACCAGATTTTATAAACGTTTTTACTCGTTGCTATGGCCTCAGCTACTAAGGCTCTTCTTGCTATGACCTTGTGTTGCTCAAAGTGTTTTAAGAACTCTTCATAATTGGTGGTCATATATCCACACTTGGAACACCTACGTGTGATCTCACTGCTTCCTCTTGGCATGTTTCCTGAAACACCAAAGATGAATTTGAATTATCAAAAGACCATTTTACCATTTCGTTAAACACTACAATTCTTGTAAGATACGATGACTGCTTTAGTTGGCAGCATTACTCTTTGAAGGTCCTAGGTGTGTCTAGGTGTGTCTCATCAAGTGTAAAATGAGTAAAATAAAGAGTTTAAAGTTGAATAATTTTTAAATTTAGAAATCTATCATTTATTTTGGAACAGACTTAAAAGGAAAGTACCACATCTAATTTAAAATGGAAAGAGTATTAATATTACAATGATTTCTTTTTTTTCTTTATTTCTTTTTGTCTATGGTGGAGTTATCTTATAAAATATAATATTAACATTCACGTTGGTAAAAAAATTCAAGTTAATAAGATGTTAGGCACATACTTACAATTTGTTACCTAGGATCTTGTTATAAAAAACGTTATTTATCAATACAAAGATGTGAGTATCTTAACTTAAAGTTCTAAATTATTTCTATGGTTAAAAAATAGAGTCTTTCTATCAATTTTTATAAAGATTTCTTTTTCTATAAATTTTAATATGTCTAAGCGAAAATTTTGGAGTCCCAAAATTTAAGGGCTCCAAAGCAAAGGCTTTACTAGCCCCCTTGAGCCACCTCTGAATTCCTAAGCTGATTTCTGTCGAACGCAGCACCTTGAAATTTGAGCCGAACTGCGATCTAGGGTTCAAGTCTTCAAGGGAGTGTTTTCAGGATTTGATATATCAAATTAAGGGTAAAGTGTTGGGCCTCCAAAATAAGCCCAACATTATACCGAATATGTCTATCAAACGTAAATTTTAATGTACACTTAATTACAAAATCAAATTCAAAAAATAAAGGTTGAATATATTATTATGCACTACTTATACGACATGTATGCTCTTTGTTTAATAGTATAAAAGTTGGGATTATATATTGTACAAACAAATATCAAATAAATCCCTTGCGATTAAAGATCATGTATGTCACATGTAAATTAAAATTTACACTGATTTACAAAATCATGTACAAGAATTTAGGATGACTAGTCTTGGGGTACGCGCTTTGTGCGTGTACCTATATCAATAAATATATAATTTTTAAAAATTACGTAAATAGTATATTTGAGTTATTGAATAAATATCAAAAAATATAAGTTCCTAAAAATAATGAATATTAATCTCACTAATATTAGTTCCTTCACTATGCAACTAGATCTACAAATGGTAAGATTATATTAGTTAAATAAAATATTATTTAAAAATATATTTAAATAATTAAAACAGATGTTTACCTTTTTTTTCAATCTGCAGCTGGCTCTCGGGACAGTGAGTCGTTAATATTAGGGCAAATAGTGACAGGCCCAATCATGATAATTCACTATCGTCACTATCTGCCCTAATATTAAGGACTCACTGTCTTCGGAGAGCAAGCTGCATAGTGAAGGAAAACAGTATACATCAGTTTTAATTGTTTAGATATATTTTTAAATAATATTTTATTTAACTAATTTGGATAATCTTACCATTTGCTGATATAGATTTCTCCTTGAAAAGGTAAACATCTGTTTTAATTAGTTAAATATTTTTTAATTAATATTTTATTTAATAACTAATTTGGGTAATCTTATAGTTGCAAATCTGAATCTTGATTTCAACCGCAATATCAGGTAACGAACACCTTTTATAATATTGATTTGTTTTGTTGTAAATTGTAATACAGTACTTTGTTAATGATTATGACAAAATTTTCTTCTTCGCATTCATAGCATTGTGTTTTCCGGTGTGTTGTCAGCTTACATATCAATGCTATCTTTATTTACAGCTTAATTATATGTTCCCATACAAATTTTATACAATTTATACGTTTAAAGTGACACATGTTTATAATATTTGGTTAGTCGGCAAAACTTGCAAATGTAATAGTTCTCTGGTTTTTCTCTGATGAGAATCAAATACTTTAATTTTTAAATTATTTTCAAAGAATTTATTATAAATACTCATTGACTTTTCAACTCTATACAACCATAGGAATTGGTTATAAAAAAATTCCCTTATTGATTAGTAAAAATTTGTAGCATTGTTAAGCTTATGATATAGTAAAGATAGTTTTACTAAGATTAGAAAAAAGAAACTCTAAAGAGAAAACAAGAGAAATACGTAAATCAGGAAAGGACAAATATTTAGGGAGATCTGAGCAAAGAAATACAAAATTAAGAACAATCAAACATAGATAACGAGAAACTAGCTTTAAAGCAAAAACATTATTATTGTTGTAATAGAGTAATAAGATGGATCATTGAGTGATCTTTTGATAATAATTAAAATAAAGGATTTAGGAGAACTAAATTACTTCTTGGGCATTGAGTTTGCAAGGTCATAGCAAGACATTCTAATGCACCAAAGGAAATATGTTTTGGAGTTGATCTCACAAGTTTGTCCGGAGGCAGCTACACCACTAGAGGCTATCCAAATAAGGAAGCTAACCAGGCCAGACATCACTTTCCGTGATCAAACCTTAAATCAATTTCTACCAATATCCCAAAGTATCACCAAGGGTGGTCAGATATGTAAAGAATCAGCAGGACAGAGTTTTCTACTATCCACTATGTGATCTCTGCCTTCTATGATGCTGACTGGCCAGCATACACTAATACCATGAAATCTGTATCGGGGTTCTTGATTAAACTTGGAGACTCACTGGTATCTTGGAAGTCTAAGAAATAAAGTACCATATCCGAAAGTTTTGCTAGCTTCTACAATGGCAGAGCTAGTATGGATTATAGGACTGATCAGAGATATTAAAGTTGAGACTGATCTACTAGTAAACATTTTCAAAGACAGTCAAGCAGCTACCCAAATAGCTACAAATCTAGTATTTCACGAGAGAACAGAGCATATTTGGATAGACTATAATTTCATTAAAGAAAAAAATCCAACAAGGACTGATAAGAACTACGTAAGTATGTGCCTATCAAAAGTCAATGTGTAGATGTATTGACTAAAGGAACTAACAGAGTGCATCATGAGTTTCTAATGTCCAAGCTAGATGTTCTTAATGTATTTGTATCACTTAGCTTGAGAGAGAGAGAGTGTTGAGAAGAAAGGCATCACTTAACAAGTATATAGATACAAGAGCATAGTAGTCTATTTATGTGTAACACAAATGATACAGCTGTCAGTAGAGTAAATGTGCTAATATGGTTAGTTAGTTCATAGAACAGTAGATTAAGAAAAATTTCTCGTTTTTCTCTATCAGCTGACTGCTCTCTATCTTCCTTCTCTTCTTCATTCTTTTCTTCATCAATTTTCCCATTCTGTAATCACACCAGTAATAAAGAAACAAAACAACTTTATGTTTTTTTATTATTTTCTCTATCCAATTTATGTGATATTTATCGTGCATTTGAATATAGAATCTTTAAGTTTTTCAAAATAAAATTTACATATTTGAAAACTACATAAAAAGTATTACAACTCATAATATTTAATAATTTAAAATATTTAAAAAGCATATGAAGAAAGTACAATCAAAGAACAACTCGTTTGATTCTCGAAATTCGAATACCATCGCATAAATTGAGACAGAGAAAATATTATTTCTATACAGATGAATGCAAGGGCAAAATTAAAGACAAACATGTGACAATAGAGACATCACTAAGATGCATTAGGCAGCAAAGGATTTACGTGCTTTTGATTTTTCTTTTTCCCCTTCAAATATGAAAGAATACAATAAAGTCCCCCTGCTAAAAACAAGCTAAAGAACCAAGCATTGTTGTAAATAATGGTAAATGGCTTTGGAATTGAACTCAAGATCCCAACATTTTGCAAAAACCCTGGAATTACTGGCAAAATCCCAATCACCAAAGCAAACATGGCTACCAAATTATAGCCACTTTTGTAATAGTATGCTCCACTTGGACTCAATGTGTACAAATCTTTGATCCTTAAATTCATCCCTTGAATGAGATAATAATCTGCTAAAAGTATGCCCATAATTGGTCCTAATATTGCAGAATAGCCAACTAACCAAGTATACACAAAGCTTTCACTTGATTTTAGCAATCTCCAAGGTTGGAATGCAATTCCTAGCAATGCTGTTAGAAGTGCACCTCTTCTGAAAGTGAATTTTGAAGGGCTGAGATTGACTAAGGCATTAGCCGGCGCGACGACATTGGCTGCAATATTGGTTGTAATTGTGGCTAGGCTAATTCCAATAATTGCAAGGATTATTGTCAAGAATCCACCAATTTCACCAAGAAGTGTAATGGGGTTGGAAATAACATGCCCAAATATTACTGGCGTTGAAGATGTAACTGCTAAACCAACAAAAGTGAACAACCCCATAAAAATTGGAAGCCCTATTTGACCTATAATTTGATCATTTTGGCTCTTGGCATACCTAGTAAAATCAGGTATATTGAGTGCTAAAGTAGCCCAAAAGCTAATATTTGCTGTGATTGAAGGAAAAAAGAGTGACCAAAATTGTGAAGATGAGATTCTTGAAGATAAGTTAAACATATGGCCAAATCCACCAGCCTTAACATAGGACCAAATGAGTAGACAAGAAGTGAGTGCAATAAGAATTGGAGCAGAGTATTTTTCTAATTCTCTAATACCATCCATTCCTTTCCACACAATTGCTAATTGGGCTATCCAAAAAGTTATAAAACAAGTAAACTCAATAGGAGAAGTGCCAAGCCAAGAAAGAGGCAAAGATAAAGATGATTCTTTAATTACTTTTGGTAATAAAAGAAAAATTGCCTCACCACCAATCCATGTTTCAATTCCATACCAACCACAACCAACTAAAGCTCTAAGAAGAGTAGGAATATGTGCACCTCTAATCCCAAATGATGATCTTGCTAAAATAGGAAATGATATACCATATTTTGTGCCAGGTTGACCTATTAATATAAGTGGTACTAAAGTTATCAAATTGGCTATAACAACAATTGCAATTCCTTGCCACCAAGCCATACCAAGATCAACTAAACTACCAGCTAGGTAATATGAAGGCACACCAACAACAAGTCCAATCCATAAACTAGCCATTTCCCACCCTGAAAAATTCCGTTGATCGGTCGTCGTTGGTTTGAGATCATCATTGGTAAGACTAGGATCAGGTTGAAAATCATCAAATTGGGAAATGAAGTGGGATTGATCATCACTTGATGCCATTGGAGAAAGAGTGTTGTTACATCTTCTATGGAACAAAGAGTGTACAACTTTGTTTTTTGTTGAAATAATAATTTTAGTACTAGTAGTAGTTAAGGTGGTTGGAATTGAAGATGTTCTAAGGTAGTAAAGGTTCTTAGGTTTTGTGAAAATTTCAGAGCTAAGGTCATTGTAGGGATGAGGATGATGAAGACATAAGCTGAGAGAATTGGACACCATGATTCAGAAGGAAAAAAGATTTCAAATAAGCTTAAGATTCTGTGGTATCAATTGAAGACTTTGTGGGATAAAAGATGAGTGGTGGAAAATGACTAGTTGTTATATGTCACTCTCGTACAAAACAGTACGTGAAATTAAGAGAAATAGGAGTAAGATTACTTCTTCTTTTTTCAGTAAAATATCGCACGAAATGACCAGATAGCCGCTATAAAGGGCTGTTATTTATGAATTAGTCAGTGCGTCATAAATTTTTAAATTTCAGTTCAAATTTTCAGGATAAAAATATATTGAGTTGCGCTGAAGTTAAGATTTTAGGACAAAATAAGTATCGGTTAATCTCAAAATAACATTCTTGAGAATGACTATATGTGCACTTGCCCCATCCAAACATACACAAATTATATAAAAACATAAAACTTCAAAAAAAAAAAAAAAAAAAAAAAAAAAAAAAAAAAAAAAAAAAAAAAAACTATAGTTGTCAAATGAACTGCAAAAGAGGTGGAACGTGGGAATGATCTGTAAACTTGGATCATGTTCGTGAGTATCATAACAGGCTGCCGTAAATTTAAAAAATAATTTAATTAAATTATAAAGGCTACAGATTGGTTAATCAAGCTGGCAAAAGTATTGATAATTGACTATAATAATATACTAATAAACACGTTTAATCTCAGCAAAGAATCATTATTGAGTTATGGGAAGGGGAAAAAAAAAGAGAATCATTATAAATTTCAATGGTGCTTCCATAAATTCAACTTTGACTAAAAGCAACATACAAGGAAAGGGAATCGGAGAGCAAAAGGTAAAGTTATTTCACAGGACCTATAGGTCCGGGTTCAAGTCATGAAAGCATGTACTGTTACTTGTATTAGAGTACGTTACCTACATCACACCCTTTAGGACACGGCCATGTAGCAACGATAAAGTTATCTTCAAGTCGTGGAAGCAGTCACTATTGATGACATTATGGTATGTTGTCTACATCACACCCCTTAGGGTGCGGCTATTCCCCGAACCTTATATAAATACAATATGCTTTGTGCACTAATTTTTTTTTACTAAAGCCAATAGACAACCATTTAATATATAAGTGATATGATTGCATAAATATTTTTTATACGTAAGTAACCTCATTGAAATAAATTTTACTTAAAAATACAAAAGGAACCTGATAAGTTTGTTTCTTTGCTTAATTGAACCTAACACATGGTTTTGATTGATAGAGACCCAAAAAGATTAAAAAAAAGTAAAGTTTTGTTTGCCGTGTGTTGTGAGCGTACGGATAGCTAGTGAGTTTGGTAATAGAAAAGAATGGCAATAATGTTTAGGACAGATAGAGACGCCATCTTTGTAGGAGTGTCTCAAGTTCGGAAGAACAAGTGCAAAGAAACAATATCTAAAAATTCATAAAATTCCATTAACTTCATGATTGCGATTATAGTTTTATACGCAATAACTTTGTATACGGTCAAAATCGAGTCTGTCCTTCGTATGACTAATCGAGATTGGAATATGATGGTCCAAAATTCATCATTGTAATATCGAGCCATGATACAAAGTTAGGTTGTCAAGCTCGAGACCCAAAGACAGATCAATACCGAGACCGGCCAAAATCGAGACCGAGTCAAGATCGAGCTCGAGACCTAGAGACCGGCCGAGATTGAGATCGGCCAAGATCTAAATCGAGCCAAGAAACAAAAAAGATATTATAGCCGCATTTGGAGAGAGAATCTCGGCGGAAATCACGGCTTGAATCAAGGAAAAGCTAATCTATTAATCTATCATGGGATCCCTACTATGCATTTTTAATTGTATCCAAAAGTATGATTCCCCCAGTATATTAAGAGTGGTTATTATCTGTACAAGGAGACATTGATTCATTCACTCTGAGATATATAGCAAAGAGAGCAAATATTATCTTTTTTGGCTTTTGATATTTAGTCATATTGTTTCTTCTACCAATCGTTCTTCACTCAATTTGGAGGTGATAAAACTTGAAGGTTTAAGTTAACTAGTTCATTCGGTTTGCATTCATTTCTTTTATAACTAATTTCGATATTCGTTTACATATTTTTCCCGATTTGTATTAATTTATATCACGTATTCTTAGAACTACGTATAAATTCAACTCTATCCATTTTCGGGCAAACAGTTTGGCGCCCACCGTGGGGCCAATGATAATAATGGTTATTTGGTATGAATCTCTACAAAACGCATTAGTTTATACTTGCTCTTTGAAGTATCTTTGATTTCAGGTTAAAAATGACGAACCCTCAATTAATAGCCCTACATATCGACAACGAAGCTGGACATCAAGATGAGAATAACAACCTGACGCCCGGGGATGAAAGGCCACTCATTGACCCCGTTGGAACTCAGGACGTAGATCCAATTGACGTTAATTCACATATGGCCATTGAGGCAAACCAACATTCCGACCCCAAAAACAACATTCATGGTGGAACTCGATCTGCAGTTCGAAAAACCCAAAATGTTAGAGAAGACGGGATCAGCCTTCGCATGATTTTCAAAATATTGCAAGCTCAGCATGTAGCGATAACTTAGCTGTAGAGCCAAACCCAGGCACCGAGAAGGCCCGAGTCCGGTCCACCCCAAGAAGTCACCCACAGAACGGGGCTAGCTATAGCAAGGTGAAATGAACAGGAATCGGGGACTAACCTCGAAATTATAAAGATGCTCAAGGAACTGACAAAACGGATAGAGTTAGGAGAAAAGAGGATTAAAGCAAACGACAAAAAAGTAGAGACTTATAACTCCAGGGTTGATCAGATCGGGGCACCACCAATATTGAAGGGTTTGGATTCCAAAAAGTACGTACAAAAGCCCTTCCCCCCGAGCGCAACTCCCAAACCGATCCCTAAAAAGTTCCGCATGTCCGAAATTCCTAAATATAATGGAACGACCGACCACAACGAATATGTCACCTCTTACACATGTGCCATTAAAGGGAACAATCTAGAGAATGACGAGATCGAATTCGTATTATTAAAGAAATTCGGGGAAACCCTGTCAAAGGGAGCAATGATATGGTATCATAATTTACCGCCTAACTCTATCGATTTTTTTTCCCATACTTGCAGATTCTTTTGTAAAAGCACATGCCAGAGCCATAAAGTTCGAGACCAGGAAGTCGGACCTTTACAAGATAACGCAAAAAGATAACGAGATGCTAATCGTATCTCGTTTCCAAATGGAACGAATGGATCTACCACCGGTCACAGACGATTGGACCGTTCAAGCTTTCACCCAAGGACTGAACGAACGAACCTCAATGGATTCACGACAGTTGAAGAAGAACTTGATTGATACCCAGTTGTTACCTGGGTCGATGTACACAATCGATATCAATCGAAGATTAGAGTTGAAGATGACCAGTTGGGTTCTGGGTCCGTTATTAAAAGGGACATCGACCGAGAACCGAGGTCAAATAGGGACCGATACCGGCGGTATAACGGAGATCGTAGGGGTAGCGAACTAGGGTGCAACTCTGTACGAGGCGAAAGGAGAAGTTATCGAGGCCAAGGGTCTCAAGGGATAATGAACAAGAATGGTTTCGACAGACATACCGAACCTAAGGAAGCACCGCGGTTATCAGAATATAACTTCAACATTGATGCATCCGCCATCGTGTCGGCTATCGGACGCATCAAAGATACTAAATGGCCTCGACCTCTGCAGTCCGATCAAGCCCAGAGAAATCCCAATCAAATGTGCAAGTATCATGGCACTCATGGCCACAGAACGGAAGATTATAGGCAGTTGAGAGAGGAGGTAGCCCGGTTATTCAATGAAGGGCACCTTCGAGAGTTTTTAAGTTACCGGGCCAAGAACCATTTCAAAAATAGAGAGTTCAATAGACAAAACGAACAAGAAGATCCACAACACATTATCCACATGATCATCGGAGGGATCGATGTCCCCTAGGGGCCAGTGCTTAAACGCACTAAGATGTCGATTATAAGAGAGAAGCGATCTCGAACTCAGGATTACATACCTAAAGGAACCGTGTCCTTTAATGACGAAGATGCAGAAGGAATCATGCAGCCCCATAACGATGCACTAGTAATATTTGTACTTATGAATAAAACTCAAGTTAAGCGTGTGTTAATTGATATAGGTAGTTCGGCCAACATCATTCGATCGAGGGTCGTAGAGCACCTCGGTCTACAGGACCAGGTCGTTCCCGCAACCCTGGTACTAAACGGATTCAATAAGACATGTGAAACTATTAAGGGTGAGATAATTCTGCCAGTAAACGTGGTCGGGACCATCTAAGAAACGAAGTTCCACGTGATCGAGGGCGACATGAGGTATAACGCCCTGTTCGGGAGGCCGTGGATCCACAACATGAGAGCAGTACCCTCGACCCTTCACCAAGTTCTAAAATTCCCAACACTAGAGGGAATCAAAATAGTCTATGGGGAGCAACCAGCCGCAAAGGAGATGTTTGATGTCGATGAAGTGATTCCGATATCATCACTATCATCGACAAAGGGATCAAATTCGAAGGAAAAATAGGATACCAAATAGCAATCACAAACGTCAGCCTCGACCCAACTAGAGAAGGAGAAGACCAGCGAAGATGATGATTATAGGATCCCTCGATCCTTCATGGTCCCCGATGAATCTGATGCTACCAAATCAACGGCCGAAGAACTGGAGCAAATCACGCTAATCGAATATCTGCCCGAGTGAAAGGTATACCTGGGCACGGGGTTAAATCCCGAGCTTAGGAAAAAGCTTATTCATTTTCTTATAGCTAACATGGACTATTTTTCTTGGTCCCATCTTGACATGACAAGGATCCTACCGGAAATCACCACTCATAGACTAAGTTTGGATCCGAAATTCCATCCGGTAAAGCAAAAAAGAAGGCCCCAGTCCGAGATCAAACATGCCTTCGTCAGAGACGACGTAACCAAACTTCTCTAAATAGGATCCATTCGAGAAGTAAAATACCTCGAATGGCTAGCAAACATGGTGGTAGTCCATAAGAAAGGAAACAAACTTAGAATGTGTATAGATTATAAAGACCTG